AGATACTTTTATTGTTTGATACTTTCATGCATGCATAGACTGTGCCTTGATCAAGCCCACCCGATTCTGTCCCCTTTTGTTCCTCCCCTATTCCCACCACTATTTCCTCCCAATTTCATGTGCTCTTTGTTTTAAACCACTGAGTCCACAGAGCTCTGCTGGTCTGTGGAGACCACAGAATTACTTCTGATGTCATTCTTGGGTGCCTATGTGTCTGAGTTACGGCTCCTATTGCTGTGGAGACACCATGATCACAGCAGCTCTTATAAAGGAAAACATTTAACTGGGTGGCTTACAGTTTCAGAGGTTTAGTACATTATCATCATGGCAGGACATGGCAGCAGGAAGGCAGACATTGTGCTAGAGAGGTAGCTGAGAGTGGAGAAGGAGCTACATCTTGACCCTACAGGCAACAGGAAGTGATCTGAGATACTGGGCAGGGCTTGAGCATATATAAGATCTCAAAGCCTACATCCACAGTCATGACACACTTCCTCTAACAATGTCACACCCATTCCAACAAAGCCATACTTACCTATACATCATTCCCTATGAGCTTATGAGGCCAATTACATTCAAACTATACCACACCAGGTCTCTCACTGGCTGGAACTCACCAAGTAGGTTAGGCTGGCTGGTCAAATGTGACTTTTTTAGTATGGGTCTGGGGGATCTAACTTGGGTCCTTGCAAGTACTTCACTGATTGAGCTATCTTTCCCATACTTATATTTATATCCTTGAAATTAAAATTTTGAAAGTTATTTTTGATAGTCTCTGAGCAACTAAGAATGGTGATACAGTCTAATATTCAGACCAATGAAAATAGGGACACCCAGCCTGAAGAAGACCTAAGGGGCCTCTAAGAAGTGAACTGTAAACTTCACATACTAAAGAAATTTGTCCAAAAAATAATTCAAATGTACAAAGCCATTATAAAGTCGTACCAATAATCCAGCCTAAGATGTTACACATGCGATACTGGGAGACACCTCTGGTCTTCATGTCAACCTAATGGCCTAATATGGAAGAGACTCTCTACTCATGGCACTAACGGCTCCTTGATCTCCTGGAGTCTAACCTGACTTATACATCCTGTCACGTGTCATTACATGATTTAATATGCAGGTGATTTTTTCCCTTGAAAGGATACAGTTCAGGGAAGAAATGCACTGTATGGCACTGATCAGCCACACAGGAGTGGAGCTGAGAAAATGGGTTGTTTTGGTCAGAGGACTTGATACCGTTAAGATGCAAGTCGTCAATGAGGAAACAGTAAAATTCTTGCTTCATGTTAAGTCAATTCTAGTCCTGAAGATTAAAACTCATTTTTTTCTCTCATTTTTCAAGTAGTGAAAATTTCAATGTTTTGAATCTCATAAAGAGGAAATATTATCAATATTCAGTTGTGAATGAATTATGGATTATTATGTTTCTAGTGATACTAAGTAACAAAGTTCTCTGCGCCATTGTCAGTACTGACATGCCTGAGAAATTAGAGCTTCTCCACCATGTGTTGTTGCTGTGGAATAATGCTGTACACTGTAAAGATTTGTCACTCATACTGGTTTAATAAAATGCTGATTGATCAGCAGGAAGTATAGGCGGGACGACTGGGAGGAGGAAAGGCAGAAAGTCAGTCACCAGTCAGAAGCAGAGGAAGCAAGATGACAATTCCTTATTGAAAAGAGGTACCAAGCCACGTAACTAAACATAGACAAGAATTATGGGTTAATGTAAGTTGTAAGAGCTACTTAATAATAATCCTGAGCAATAGGCCAAACAGTTTATAATTAGTATAAGCCTCTGTGTATTTATTTGTCACTGAATGGCTGCAGGACCAGGTGGAATAGAAACTTATGTCTACATAATGTGGTATTTATTGGATATTGACTAATCTCTTCTTGGCCTAGAACTTCTTCTAGCAAAGCAATAACATCACCATACAAGCTTAAATTCCCAATTATAGACACAACTGTAACACACTACCTGCATTCTTCTAGAACTTCCTACTACCCAATTGCCTCTCTACCTCATCAATTTCTGGGTTAATATCTGTGTTAACACAAACACTTTCTCAGCACACGTTCCTAGGACTAAAACACTTTTCTGTTTTGCATGTTAGCAGATAAACAGATGATTCTCTCTCGTCCTGCCATTTCCTACTGCATTATAAGCAGTACCTGAGGAACCATCGCTGTCTTGCCTGCAGTTATTTCCAGCCTCTAGATTTCCAACAGCGATTAAAAACTGTTTGTGGGTGGGCTGGCTGCTTGGTGTGCCGCACATACATGCAGTGGACCTGTGGCTACAATAGGACCATATCAAGATGGTAAGCCCCAGAACGACATGAGCTGGGGTAAAAGGGAAGGGAGAACTCTGTCCCACCTCATGGTGTGACTTAACACCATTCATATTATTTCTGGCTTCCCAACTTTTTCTATTTCCTGTAGCCTCTCTTTGAGAGTGTTAAGAGAAATAAACGAACTCAAATAAAGCCTTACAAAATCCTGGTCATGTGGCCAGCACTGTTCAAAGCGTGGGGTCATACTAACTAGTTAGGTCTGCAACTCTCTGGAAGAGAGACTACTGATATCTCTGTTTGCAAAAACAGAAAAGACATTGGAGCATTGAGCATTAAGTTATTCACCAAATACCCACAGGTAGAATCTGCTGAGCCTCATGCTGACTTCAAACAACAATATCAAAGTAATAGACTCTTTTGCTAGGGTTATGGAAGAGTGTGGAAGACAGTTGTCTATGACTAGCACCCACAACTTCTCCTTGCCCTACATCATCAATAAGAAATACTTAGTTTTCCCGTATGTTCCATCTCCTTTGCATCTAGAAGGGCTTCTGTGAAGCACTGAGATAAGCAAGGCAGACGGTATGCCTGCTGGAGCAAGCGTACCTTTCAAGTGAGAATACGTATCGGGAAAACGGACAGGAGGAAGTGAGTGACATCCACAGCTTCAGGGGAAAGAAAAGAATGCTCACTAGAGCCAGGAGCATGTGGCAGGCATTCTGCAAAGGCAGAACAACCGTGAGAGTTGGAGCTGCGAAATGCCCAGGGTTTCCAGGCATGGCTAATGGTCTGCTATTGATTCCACTGGACTTGGCAACTTGAAGTAGAAGCTGTGGAATCACAGCCAGACAGGTTATGAGGATGTTCCACAATGTTTTGTAGGTGTTTCTCAAACTTGCACATCCGAAGAATCACAGGATTTACCAACAATATACATTCTCAGGTCTCTTCTCTGAACTAAGTGTTGGTCCCAGGTGTCTGCATTTAATGTAATGTAGCAGCGGACAAGGAAAGAGAAACTTTAGCAACAAAATTCAATTTTAGTTTCTCTAATTACTAGAAATAATGTCCTCAAGCAAAATACAGACCCATTTCATCTTTAAAGTATAGGAAATAACCTCCTCTCTGCAGGGCTGTACTTTGCAGACGAGAAGACAGAGAAGTTCCTGACACACAGAAGGTAGGTAGTGTGTGAAGCCCACTGATGCTCATATTCCTTAGTGCAGATTCCTGAACTGGGGGCCTGACTTCCTGCTGTCATTACCCCTTCT